AAAACGCATGTGGTTCATTCATGATGGGGTCTCAAGCACATTTTAGTCACATTATTCGCGATGCTCTGTGTTGGGGCGCACCCACCTTCTAACTAGTAATGGACTGGTCCCTCTTATATAAGTCAGCTCTGGAGAAAGAGTGACAGAGCGTCAGAGAGAGAGTCAGCAGTCCAGATAAGCTTACCCGTTACATACCGTTGGACTATAGACCTTGGATATTGTTTCGTACTAACCAACCTTCGTTCTACTAATCACTCTATTGTTAATTGCTTTTATGAATATACCAGTATTTTCCTCTACAACTGTGTTTGTCTTGATTCATACACCGACACGCGGGAAACTCACAACATCTCAACACTCTGGCTGACAACTACCATGAAAATTGGATAGGAAATGGATGTCCGGTTCAATGGCCTTCACGTTTGCCCAAACTTAATCCTTTGGATTTTTATCTGCGGGTCCACCTAAAACGATTGGTTTATGCAGCAGCCATTAATAACTAAAAAACGGAGATTTTGCGGACGTAAGTTTATATAAACTGTTGTCTTTGTTTTGGTGTGAGGAACCTGCTCACAAAGTTTGTAAAATTATTTTTGATATACCCTGTATCTGCACGTACGCATGCGCGTTTTTTATACATTTAGCAGACAGCACAGATACGATACGAATGTTATCTTCTGCAGAGTGGTGGAGAGTGACTCTTTAAAATATCGACTCATGCATGAATAACATTGTTGTTTTTACAGTAATTGTAATTTCTTTTTGCACAAGCGCATTGCTTCAACATAAACTTTGTCTTCTTTTTTTTTTGTTTTCTTTTATTTTTCTCGCAATAAATAAAAGTCTTATCCAGATACAGTCTCAAATAAAACCGACAAAAGTAAAAGAGAAATAAGCCTGAGGCACACTTACCTACCCAGTAAAGGGCTCGAAGCTCAGATTGCCTAGACCAAGCAAAAGAAGCTTACCAGCGTTAAATCCTTCGAAAGTATGGCTCTAGTTATAACCCGAGTTTCACGCTCACACGATCTTTTATCGGTTGAATATATATATATATATATATATATATATATATATGAATTAATATAGTCTTAAGATGTGTTATATTTATGGGATAAAGTGCTCAAATAGGAGATAGAGCGTGTGTAAATATAAAAGTGAACATAGAAGTCAACACTTAAGGGCGACAGTCTGTTTCATGCTAGATACAATCATCAGGCAGCACAGATACGACTGTTATCTTCTACAGAGTGGTGGAGAGCGACTCTTTAAAATATCGACTCATACATGAATAACATATCGTGGCCTGACGATTGCATCTAGCATGAAACAGACTGTCGCCTCTAAGTGTTAACTTCTATGTTCACTTATATATATATATATATATATATATATATATATTCAACTAATAAAATCCCATAAACAAATCAGAATGTTTGTTTGATAAATAATCATTACGAGGGCAAATACTGCCAAAATATTTGTCGAACGTAGTTGTAGACCTACCAAGTGTTATTTTTAGACTATTTAGAAAATAATAATAATAATAATAATAAGTCCAGCAGTCGCCGGTTAAAAGTCATGTATACGCACTCACAGACACATTAAGCTGACCTCCATAAAGTAAGCCTGTCCACACATCTTACACTGCACTACGAACACTCAATTACTTGATAAAACAAACTTCACTGCAAGGAAAATTTAACATTTTGTTGTATATTTCTAAAAATAATCTATAAATGTTATTTCAAGTGACATCCTGCTTCTATTTTTCCTTCAGAAAATAACCCTTTTTTTTAAATATTTCATGTGTTGTTCTTGTTAAATGTTTGGAATCCTGACATTCAGATAACAAATAAACTTGGATAGACGGGTACCGACAAGTACGTCATCTCTAAACTTCAGTAAGAGAAGCCCGAAGAAGCTATCCGGTGAAATGTTATCTTAAAAACGAACGTGAAGACAAAACCCCGAGAAATGTACAGCATGACAAAGCCCAGAATTGCAGATAACACAGAAGAGATAAAGAAACGTTAAAATAAAATATATGTGATCATTGTATGGGGAACTCTCTGAGGGTACGCGTAACGTTGGACGACCCAAGCTTCGCTTCAAGGACCATAATGAACTTTTACTATCAATGTTGCGAACAGGGTTGCGATTGCCTGGGATTGAGTGGAGTGGATAGCTGCTGTTTTCGCGGGAGTAAAGAACTATGAAATGAATAGAGTCCAGCGCGACGTAGAGGCTAGACAAAGACGGTGGATGACCTCACAGTGTTCTTCTACTGTAGTCGTTGTCAAAAAAAACCGTGCCGATCGCGCATTGGTTGTTTTAGCCATGAGCGGCGCTGCGTTTTAATATAACTTATTTTCCGCTTCCAACCGTCACCATCGGAGAAAAACGCCTTAGATCATGTGAAAAATATTTTCTACGTTGATAATGACGTTTGCCTGTTGCCAAACGGTTTATGACTGCCGAACTCTCTGCTTCGACAGAGAGGAACCCGGACGAAGCTTTACCGCATGAGCAAAGTTTCGTCCGGGGAGGTAGACAGGCCCTGAACCCGTTTATACGGGTTTAAAGGGAATATTATGCCCGCGCATACGGGCTCGGAGAACCCACGCTAAATCGGACTTGTGCCACATACAACCCTCGTGGTGGGGGCATTAAATATTAACGTTTGCCTGCTGCCAAACGTTCATTGCTGTCGAAATCTCTGCCTCGGCAGAGAGGAACACCGACGAAGCTTTGCCGAAGGGCAAAATTTTCGTCCGGGGAGGTAGACAGGCCCTGAACCCGTTTATACGGGTTCAAAGAGAATATTTTTGGCCGAGGCTACGGGCTCGGAGAACCCACGCTAAACCAGCCTTGTGCCACATACATCCCTCGTGGTGGGAGTCGTTAAATATTAACGGTTGCAGAGACCTACAGCCGCCCACACCCTAAAGGAACAGGATACAGAAATCAAGAAAAAAAAATAAGAAGACATAATTAAGCCTTAATAAAAGCAATTTTTATTAGTCATTTAACTGTGTCAATTAAAGAAAGAACTTGCATTGTTCGGACTGTTATCCTCATCTTTATTGTCATATTCACAACGTTTCAGTCGTTGTACGTTCCGGCCTTCTTCAGGTGATTGGAATTTCGAACCGAACCATTTATTACGCCTGCCGATTGTTCTAGTTCCACATGACATGCTTCTTCCGGATGTCTCAGTTATTTCCCTTTAACTCAATTCTCTAAGTACTTTTTGGTTCACCTCTGCACTGGTACTGAACACTTTGGGTCTAGTCACTGGATCTAACCAACGTCTCTATCCATTGGGCCATGTATCCTTGAGGATATCTCCGTATGGATCTTTCGGACATAAACTTAATGTCTCATGTTTTACCAGTGATATTGGAAATGTTTATCTGTTCTTATTATTGCATTTTTTACCAGAGTTTATATTGTAATTTTTGTTGTTATTCATTGTGCAATGGTCGAAACGTTGTGAATATGACAATGAAGATGAGGATAACAGTCCGAATAATGTAAATAATGCAAGTAATCATAATATCTCATCTCAGAGATATAGACAGCCATTATATCACTAGAAGCTAGTGACTGGATCTAACCAATGTCTTTATCCACTGGGCCATGTGTCCTTGTGAATATGGCAATGAAGATGAGGATAACAGTCCGAATAATGTAAATAATGCAAGTAATCATAATACCTCATCTCAGAGATATAGACAGCCATTATATCACTAGAAGCTAGTCACTGGATCTAACCAAAGTCTTTATCCACTGGGCCATGTGTCCTTGTGAATATGGTAATGAAGATGAGGATAACAGTCCGAATAATGTAAATAATGCAAGTAATCATTATACCTCATCTCATATAGACAGATATTTAAAAAGAAAACAAAAACTGAAGAATAAAACTCGTTAAACCTTTGTGTTTGTGTTCTTCGTTTTGTTGTTCAAAGATAAACGCAAAAACAGCAAGAAAATGCTCATTTGAAGGTAAATTTTCCCATTTGTGTTGTGGGTGCAAAAGAACCTCAAGAAATAAATGCAGGCTTTAGTCTCTGATTTATGAGAATAGATGTAATGAAATCTTGTCAGTACAGTTAAGTCTCATTATTAAAGCAGATTCTTATTGCTCGCCTGGTGACGTTACGGAGCGTCTGACTCCAAGTTAATACTGGCATGATTTCTTCGCTTCAAGAAAGCACTCCTTTGAACTTCGGGGTATGAAAGGAAATAAATAGCTATTATCCCCTTCAAGCGTGTCTTCTTTTAAGGTATATTTCGGTGAACGGGGGTGACGTATGAAACGATGTCTCTTCATAGGATAAGGGACGATGTGTAATCCTGAAAGCAAACGTCACAGTTTCGACCGATTTTTTTTTTCTGGAGAGAAAAAGTACAAAGATTATTTTCAAAAACTATTTCTACGTTTAGAACGAAATACTTGAGATTACTAAATCTGAAGCAAGCAATAATGTAGCGCCAAGTTCTTGAATTGTCTGCTTTCGAATGAAATTCGTTCCTTTTTTTTTCCTTTTATTTTTTTTTTAAATTACAGCTTTCTTTTGGTAGGTTTGAGTGGAAATGGTAGAATTTACGATATTTCAACCCTTCTTGATTTCTATGCCAAAATCTTTTTTTAAATTATATTCGAATCTGCAAGTATTTACTTGGTGTTAAGATATTGTTTACTTATATTTAGAAGCATTTAATTTACTTTCGGATCTGGATGGTGATGCTCCTTATAAGATTAATTCCATGAATTTTACAATTACTAAGCAGTCTCTTATTTTTTTTTCTTTTGGAGATGATAATAGTTTTAGTTATACAAGTCTTACTAATTAACCCATAGCTGGAGGGAGAAAAGGTGGATTTATATCTTTCGCGTAAGTGAATACAACGAAACCAACGGAAATTGAAATTCGGGCCAGCCTATTGACAATTCCGTGCCATTATCCATTACACCACACGCACACCCAAAGCTTACAGCACCTGGTATTCCCAAACTGTCACCCACGTAGGTACTGACGACCAGGTTCGATTTTGCTTAACTTCGGAGATCGTACGGAAACCAATGTCTCAATGTGATGTGGCCGTAAGCCTTGCTTTATTCAGCAGGCTGCAACTATTAAAGGACGTTTCTATTTGAGCTTATAGCAATACTTCGTTCGGGAATAGGTAAATATTAGTTGTTTATATTTGAGCCTAGAAGCATTATCTTGGTTCAGGAATCGGTCAATATTGATGGCTTATATTTAATCTAACAAGATGACTCCTAAAATTTACTTACAATTGAAATAGCAGACTCATTTCTTGATGTTTTTGAAGCTCTCTGCTCTAAAACGAGTCTGCAGAAACAAATCACTAGTATTTCCTTCATCTTAATTTCACTTGCTTTTTATAGCAACAACTTGAATACGTATGTAGAAGAGTAACATGTATAAAACTAATCTTTAAACAAAGTTCTACAAATTCAAATAATTTTATTATTTAGTGTAAAATAGTTTTTGTTTTATTTTAAGCTGAAGGAAATTAGATTATAAAGTTGCTTGTTCAGTTAGTTTTCTAGTTAGTTTTCAGTTATTTTCCTTGCGTTTAGGAAAATAAATGCAAGCAAAGTTCATACGGAAATATTTTGTATTATATAAACACAAAAGAAAAAATGAATTGTCTTAGTATAGAGTGGAACGTTTGTATGTGATTGTTACGCGAAAAACAAAAATCTAGGTTCCGTTATGCGCGTGTAGCGTAATGTATCCGAAGGAACAGCCAATCAGACAATCAGCTAAATATCAGCGTAAATATAGCTGATGACATCTCGGCCAAAGATGTGATGTGTTTTGTTTTTTAGCCGCTTTGTGTTTTCGTAATATAAACCGTCCAAACTGGTTTCTGAAAATACTTTTTAATAATAATAATTTTACAAAAGGAACTTTAGCACTCAATAAGATTTTTTTGAGGAGTTGAAAGTTTAGAAATCAGTATTATTCCCATGACGGTCGAAGTATACTGAAGACTAGTTTATTTATTTAAGTTACGCTATTTATAGAAAAATTTCGGATCACAGGAAGTTAAATGATAGATTTATTAAATTTAAAGGTTTTATTGCTTAATAAATATATTTCCAATTTTTTAACATTGATTTTTAATCCGGCAAAATAAAGCTGGCAACTGCTCTCGACAATGACCTCCAATCAATTGTTAATTGGGGGTAAGAAATGGCTTGTAAATTTTAACGTCATCAAAATGAAACTGAACCATTTTTATCTTCCATCAGCATGGCTGATGCTAACATCCAAGAGATTCATTGCACCTTCTTGGTCTCACGTTTTCCGCTGACATAAAGTGGAGTGATGGTAATGAGTTTCCTGCTAGGAAAGTTAGTTCACTGTGTCGTGCCAGACTCCATTTTGCACATTTATAAATCTACCATTCTTTCGTACAGTTAATATTCCTGCCACACCTGGTCTGGTGCTCCTGCTATATATCTCAAAATTCTTGACAGAATTCAAAGAAGTGTCTGTAATATTATCGGTCCTGACCTGGCATCTCGACTTCGGTTACTATCCCACTGCCATGACGTGACTTCCCTCTGTCTTTTTTATAAATATTTTCATGACAGTTGTTCTAATGAATTCTCCTCCTTTGTACCTCGACCGCAAGAATTTAAGTGTGCTACAAAAATGGATACTAGGTCTTGCCGTTTTATTAATAGATGTATCTATAAGTTCTAATTTAATAGTTTTATTTCTCTCACTTGTGAAAATATCTTCAGGGTTTTTTTTGTTTTGTTTTGTTTTTTTGCTTCACAACCACCTACAATCTTCAAAAATTTAAATGCATCATTGTTATGGTAATTTACCCATGCACGCATGGACTCTCCCAGCTATAAATAGGAGCAGGTACTGCCTTTTGGAGACAGAAGTTTCCAGCAATCAGCTTTGACAGTCGGACCGAACATTCTTGCTGTAACACTCTCGTTTGTATATGTTTGTAATACTGTTTCTGTTAATATATTTGTTTAACTCAATTCCTCTCTTGTGTCTTTATTTCTAACCCTAACAAGGCCACAACAAACATCAATCGTCATCATCTGTTTTTCTAAATCATGTTTTTTATTCTCCTATCCTTACTAAAGTCTTCTCGTTCTCTTTCATTCCCAGTAACCACTTCGCGTCTTAGAAGCATTATCTCCCTGCTTGTGGGGAAAATGATTAAAAAATGATATGGTTAAACACTGTTTCCCTAACCGTGAATATACCCTGTGAGTGTTAAATTTTCTAAGCTTTCTTTCTTTATTATAATTTACATATGCTAGATCTATGACTAATCTTAAGCATAAATAGGTAACAAAAATTGACGGAATAAGAGTTAAATTCGATGACCATGTTTTATTATTTCAAAATGAATTGAGTAAGTATATAAAAGAACGTAAAACAAGAATGTCTTCCCAACGGATTAATTCAGCGAGGCAAAACTAAGCGAACTAGAAGTCCGAGTAGGATTTCTTAACAGATTTATTCAAACCTCTACATCGAGGCTATCCTAAGGGGGCTGATGACCCTAGCAGGAATTATTAATAGATTTATTCAAACCTCTACAGCGAGGCTATCCTAAGGGGGCTGATGACCCTAGCAGGAATTATTAATAGATTTATTCAAACCTCTACAGCGAGGCTATCCTAAGGGGGCTGATGACCCTAGCAGGAATTATTAATAGATTTATTCAAACCTCTACAGCGAAGCTATCCTAAGGGGGCTGATGACCCTAGCAGGAATTATTAATAGATTTATTCAAACCTCTACAGCGAGGCTATGCTAAGGGATTAGAGACCCTACATGGATATTTTAACAGATTTATTCAAACTTCTACCGTGTGGCTATCGTAAGGGGATTGGAGACCCTACCAGGATTTATTAACAGATTTATTCAAACCTCTACAGTGAGGATATCCTAAGGGGTTTGGAGGCCCTATCAGGATTTATTAACTGATTTATTCAAACCTTTCCAACGAGGCTATCCTAAGGAAGCTGGAGACCCTACCAGTATTTTTTTTTTTATCGGTAGACACAATCTTAACAATATAAGAAATGCAGATAACCCTGTGTTGATAGCAATCACAGAAGAAAAAATTGGTTGTGGACAAGGTCATAGAAAATACGGAGAAGAAATTATCATTAAGACAGAATGTATGATTGTCAGCCACGGCAATTCCCCCAAGAAAAAAAAAAACTACGAATTACAGATGAAAAAATCAAAAGTCAGTACAGAATTTCAAATATCTGGGTAGTTTTTTAACAGTCGATGGAAATCGAGATACCGAAATTTCAATGTGCACTTGGATAACAAATGACGCCTTCCAAAACTTAAACAAAGTTCAAAGTTCATTAGAAACAAAGAAATGACTGCTATGTGATATCAATCCTTCTGTACGGCAGTGGATTTTAGACAGTCACCTCACAGATGATGAGGAAACTGTAGGCAACAAATATATGGTTCTACAGAAGGATATTGAGAATTCTATAGGGGGATATGTAAGCAAAGAGGGAGTTTTTGGGAAAATTAAACAAAAAGGACGCTTAAACTCAGAATCATGAAGAGACAGCTGAAATTTCTAGGACACATAATGAGGAAAGAAGGCTTGGAGAATTTAATACTCATAGTACATATCGAAAGCAAAATGGACGAAAATGCAGAAGGGCCTCTACCTAACCAGCTTGTATGAGTGGATCACGGAACAGAGATGGAAAAACGCTACTAGGAATAGGAAGTTATGGAGAGCAATGATCGCTGACGCCTTGAAAGGACACGGCACATAGAAGAAGAAGTATTCGATGAAGAATGTTATAAACTAAAAAGAAATGATTTTTATAAAATTTTCCAAACGGTAAAACCTTTTTATCTCTCTTTCGCTTTTCAAGATGAAAATTTCACTTCTTTTTTTTTTTTATTTTTTATTCCCAAAAATATCGACGCCTCTTCCAGTGACATCCGGTCCGTTTTTACAGCTGATGCCTTGATATTTATCAACAAGAAAAGATTAACCTGTCAAGATATGGTGAGCTGGGGTTTTCTGCGCCGTCCAAAGATGACAGAGGCTGATAACGAATCGCGCGTTCCTGTCATTGCGTTGACAGACAGAAGACGAAGACCGATAGAGAGCGGAAGTGATTCACGCGCTAAAAAGGCGGGAGAAATGGACGCCCGTTATCATAAAAGAAGAAAACATTTTTTTCTTTTTCAATATGGACAAAATTAAGCTTCATTTTGATGGAGGCTTTTAAAAAAAAATGACAAGCTGAAAGCGAAACGAGCGAAATTAATAACGACCCTATTAACAAATTTACAAGCTTTTAAAAAGATATAAAATCTTATATATATATATATATATATATATATATATATATATATATATATTGTCACTTTAAGCGTTATTATTAGTGGATACTTTTATTGGAGTAGACGCTCCGTTTACATATTATACAGTATATTTATTTCTTTTCACCTACCGGCCTAAATGTTCGAGAAATATTATTAAAGAAAAAATTGTGCTCTTCGTCAGGAATCAGGGCAAAGAAAGCCAACGTTTAGCCCGGTGCGCTTTACCGAATGGCCAGGAAGACACTGACGGTTAGGCGAAACTAATTACATGCTTTCAAGCGATATGTCTATTGTCATATATCTCTCGAAGTTTTTCATATCTGCACACAGTTTCGTATCTAAACGTAAACAAAAAGAATTTTAGAATGGATTTTCAATAATCCGGCAGTTTATGTATCACTTTAAACCTTGTGTGTGTGCATATGTATTTGTGTATATATATGTGTATGTGTGTATATATATGTGTATATATATATATATATATATATATATATATATATATATATATATATATATATATATATATATATTCGCTACACATATATATATATATATATATATATATATATATATATATATATATATATATATATATATTATATATATATATATATATATGTTCTTCTTTTTTTCTCATTTCTCACACATGTCAATATTGATGACTTCAACATCCTGAAAATAGATTTTCTACGTCAGACACCTCGGATTCTTCTTACATT